CATAAATGTATTGTTTTCACTTTTGCGCCATGGAGACACGGCGATTCATTCAGCAACTGTTTGACCTGTGAAAATATTTCAGTAAAAAGAACGCTAGAACCATATGAGCACCAGCAAGAGCTTTCATTTGAGCTATAACTTGTACATGTGTCATATATGAACCATATGAAAAATATGAAAATAAACCAATGTAAAATACCAAGCTCGGGTATCCAAAAAACTGTATTTCAATAACTTTGTACAGTGGAGTAAAAACCAAAGTGATGCATCACCTGACTCGTGGTAGCAGCAGAAAAATAAACCAAGGCTCACACAGGTCGCATCCCACATCTTGTGCTTTGGAAAACCAGCTTGACTAGCCTAGCCTGGCTGGGAGCCCATCTAAAACCAGATATGTCCAGCTTAAACTAGAATGGTCAAGTTGGTTTTAGATGGTTTTAGCAGGTCACTTTCCAGCCTGTCCAGCTAAGACCAGGCTGGAAATGGCCGGAAACCAGCCTGGAAGTGGCCAAAACCCCTCTAAAACCGGGCTGGTCGACCAGCTAAGACCAGCCAACCATCCAGGTTTAAGCTGGACATAGCTTCTGTGTTTTCTGTTCAGTGTTTTTGTTGGTGTTTAATCGTGCAAAAGATCAAAATATTAAACAAAGACATTTGTACAGCTTAGCAAGGCTAATGTGTACTTAGCCAAAATAGAAAACAGTTCAACCCTGCTGAAAAATCCAGCTTAAACCAGCCTAGGCTGGTTTAAGCTGTTTTTTTCAGCAGGGAAATTTCAGTATTTCACAAAGCTGTAATGTATCTTTAAGAAAAGAAGACTTGAACCAATTTCCAGTGATATCGACAGCATTGTATATACTAATGTTGTGTATGAAGCAATACTGAAATCAATTTCACTGGAAGCTGTTTAGAAAAAAAATTGCTTAATTTAGGCCTACGTGAGGAACTTTTCGCTAAACTTCCGGTCGCGCGCACGTCGCAGATAAACGGTACGTGATTACATCTTGACATTTACACAAACCAATAAATATTCTGTTGAGTACACTATCATAACACACATCAGAAATCGCCCGGATTTATTAAAGTTACATGTATTTTAATAAATATTTCCCGCGTCCCCTCGAGTGTAACTGTAAGCTAATCAAATCCCTGACTTTCCTCCACACGCGCCTCCAAAGGTAATAAGATCCTCCGAGTTATGGCATTATGAATATATTTTAATCAAGTCAGAGACCACGTACGACACGGACACGATAAATAAAAACAAGTCGAAACACCGGTAGGGATCAGGGTTGTAATATATATTGTAATTCGCATTATAAATTCATAAACACACGGAGCTGAAGCCCAGCGGAGTCTCTGAATATGAGTGAACGCCGTCGGCTTGATATTTTCCGTCTGTCGTCTTTGCTTTGCTTCGTGAACCTGTAAATTGAGGGATTTGTGAGGCTGTAGATGAAGAGAATCAAGCTGTTTCTGCATAATAATAAAAGCAGAGCTGCTGTTATGATGTTATGTAACACTGGGGGAAGCTTTCAGAGCTGCTCAACTCACCGAATGCACATCATATGTGCTCAGAAGCTGATGATCTTCTCTCTTAATGCATTTTCTTATTTTTAACAGCTATTTATGTCAATAAAACGAAGATTATTAGACCTTGTTGACACTTCATATCGGTCTAAAATATCATGTATACAAATATAAAATGACAAAATATCATTATTATTTTCATGTAAGGCTAATAGAATAAAGATAATAATATAGTATTAATTATACAATAATGTTGTGTACAGTGCAGATTTAAATCATACACAATAAATAAAATTCTAAGTTAATAACAGGAAAATTAAACTGTTAATGTATATTATTATTATATAGTTAATAGTGTGAATTTAACAAAAAAAAGATTGGACCGTTTACACTAAATTGTTTTATATAAACCTAAAAAAATATATTTATATTATTTTCATGTTAATAGAACAAACAGAAAATATAATATTATTTAAACATTATTATTGTTGTGTACAATGCAGAGTTAAATAATAAACGAGAAGTACAATTCAAAGTTTATTACAGGACAATGACGTCAAAATTAAATGTAAAATGAATTATTGTATTGGAAACTTAATGTATAATTCTGTTAATATGACACAATTAACCATGTAAATAAAGCAAAATTAGTTTTTTTCAGATTTTCTTCATTTATTTATTCATGTATTTATTTTTTATTTAGTTTTACAGGTTTGGCCTTCCATACTGATTAGTTTTATTTTTTTTTTTTCAGATTTTATTCATTTATGTAATTATTATTAATTAATGTATTTTTTTACAGGTTTGGCCTTCCATACTGATTTGTTTGATTTTATTAATTGGTGTATTTATTATTAATTAATATATTAATTTTGTACAGGTTTGACCTTTCATATTGATTTTTTTCCCCCACTTTTTTTCATTTATTTATTTATTTATTTTCAAGGTTTGGCCATCCCTACTCATTTGTTGTTGTTTTTTAACATTTTCTTTATGTATTTATTAATGTATTTATTGTTTATTTGTTTATTTTTACAGTTTGCCCTTCCATGCTGATTTATTTTTTTATATTTTCTCCATTTATTTATTTGTTTTTAATTATGATTTATTTTTAAACAGTTGACCTTTCACACTGATTTTTTTCACATTTTCTTTATGTATTTATTAATGTTATTTATTTATTTTTACAGGTTGTCCTTCCATGCTGATTTATTTTTTCATATTTTCTCCATATATTTATTTGTTTTTAACTATGATTTATTTTTAAAGGGTTGACCTTTCACACTGATTTTCTTTTACATATTCTTTATATATTTTTTTATGTGTTTATTATTATTTAATTTGTGTATTTTTACAGGTTTGCCCTTCCATACTGATTTGTGTTTTTTTTTTTTCAGATTTTAAGTTATAATATATTATTTATTATGTATTTATTATTAATGTATTCATATATATATATATATATATATATATATATATATATATATATATATATATATATGTGTGTGTGTGTGTGTGTATATATGTATATATATATATATATATATATATATGTGTGTGTGTGTGTGTGTGTGTGTGTGTGTGTGTGTGTGTGTGTGTATATATGTATGTATATATATATATATATATATATATATATATATATATATATATATATATATATATATATATATATATATATATATATATATATTAACAGGTTTGTCCTTCCATACTTATTAAATTTTTCACTTTTTTCATAAAATTATTTAATATTAATTTATTTATTTTCAAGGTTTGGCCTTCCCTACTGATTTTTTTCCACATTTCCTTCATGTATTTATTAAAGTATTTATCATTTATTTATTTATTTTTACAGGTTTGGCCTTCTGTACTGTTTTGTTGTTGTTGTTGTTTTACATTTTCTTCATGTATTTATTATGTTTGTATTTATGTATTTGTCATTTTGTCAGGTCTGGATGTTTTCCGACAGTTTTTTCCACACATCAAGCTCTTCATAACTCCAGAAAGTGTGTGTTTGATGAGATCGACTCTGAATGTCTGATATTAATACTTGATGTCTGTCTAGAATGATTTCACTAAAGCTGAATATTTAATAATGGTCTTGAAAATCCTCAGTTCTGAAGTGCCCTGCGGCCAAAATCACACACAACACACCGCTGAATTTCCCATCGGCCTCCAGTGTGCTGTAAATCTAAGGTAAACGCTGTGTTTTACTGTGTTTTTTGTCAAGCATAGAGCCTGTAAATCTGTTAAATGTGAAGGACTGCAGTTTGAGGGAATTTGGTTGTAGAGCGCCACCACATGGAGAAGTCTGTCACTGAAAATAAATGATCCATTGGATTTATTCAATGTTTTTAAGGTAAATGGTTGCAAACAATTCATATGGGCAGAATTGAAACAAACATTCTTCATTTGTTTGTTTAAATTTATCCCATATTAATTGTTTGTAAATCCAATAAATCATTTATTTTCAGTGGCATTTATTAATAACTAAACAAATAAGCTATTAGAAAAAAGTAAAAGAAAGATCAGGTTATATTCTTTCTGTATATAATCTTACAAGTTTAAGAGATTTAAAATGTAATGTATTTAGTTATGATATCTGACATTTTTATTATTTTATGAATTGTGAGCGTTATTATTATTTGGCAAAACAAGTTCATTTATTTGGCACATTTCATACACAATGGCATATGAATGTAGATTTTAATTACCATCAAAATAATCAGTATACAAAAAAAAAACAAAGGATATAAATATTAAATTACATATTAAATCAATTAATTATATTTAATTATACGATATGTGTATAAATATATATTGGAAACTTAATTTGTACAGTTGTATTATTATAAACGTAAAATGTATAATTTTACTGTTGTTATTATTGTACAATTAATCCTATAAGTAAAACAAATTATTCGAGATTTTATAAAAAAATATTTTATATAAATTAAAAGTTAAAAACACTTTATTATATTACAATTTCCTTTTACATTTTATTTTAATGCCATTTTCCTGTTATTAACCATTGATAACAAACAATGTAGGTAAGTTATGTTAATTAAATATTAAATTAAATATATAAAATTATATATATATATATATAAACAGATTAAAATATGTTAAGAAGTTTAAAATAAATAAAAAAGGCAAGAAATTATGTCAATTTAACCACTTCTCACATATTTTATGATATTTGACAGATTGTAATAATTAAATAAAAAAAATAGATTTTTTATTGCAATTGTGTGGTAATCTTATATATTCTATATTTCTTACATTTTACAAGTGCATGAATTTCATTTTCATGAGTTTTCCAGCTGTATAAAATACAAATAATAAACTAATTAAAAATCCAGGTAAAAAATTATAACGATATTAAAGTATGTTTTTCAAATAAATATATTATATCTTATGTATACAATTTATTAAAAAACATATATAGATGTCACAGAAACTAAGAATTTAAATGTTAATATTATCTTTAATATTTTTATAATGCAAAGTACACATGTATATGTTAACATTTCATTTACAATCAGTGTGTACTGTAATTATATTGATTATACAAAATTACATTAGCTTCATTGAAAAGTCCAGGCCTATAACATACAAATGAACGCTACAAAAATTCAATTTCCATGTATATATAAAAACCTCTTCTTATATCTCTGAGAAAGTTTTTATTCATAAGCTCTCCAGTTCTACAAATATAGACTTTTCCCTTACAAAATCAAAATATTTACAAGCTCATTATCATCACCATCTCTTACAAAACAATTCTTTAAAAACAAGTTTAGTATCATTACTCGACTTCAATTCCACCCAAAACAACACGACTTCAAATGAGATGTTTATCAGAATGTTCATGTTGCTCTTTTCTGTACAATTACAGAATGGAGGACGGATGGATGAAAAAACACCATAAAAAACATAACAACATCATTTAGTTCAGACATTATCAGTGTTGGGTAAAGTTACTATTAAAAGAAATATATCGCAAGCCTGTCTTAATCAATGCTAACATACTCTCCCATTACTTTAAGTGATTTAAGATCACAATATATTACATTTAAAAGTAACTTTACCCAACACCGAAAACTACTGCACCAACTCATGATCATAAACACTCATTTATAGCTAATAAAAGATGATTTATAGTTCATAACGATATTTTATAGTTCATATATGATGATTTATAGATCATAAATGACGTTTTAGCTAATAAAGTATGTTTTATAGCCCATAAATAACTTTTAAAGTATGTTTTATAGCCCATAAAGTATGTTTAAAGTATGTTTTATAGCTTGTAAATGTTTTGGAGCTTATAAAATATGGTTTTTAGCCCATAGATAATGTATTATAACCCATAAATAATGTTTTATAGGTAATAAATGATGATTTATAGCTCATAAAGTATGTTTAATAGGTAATAAATTACGATTTATAGCTAATAAATGATTATTTATAGCTCATAAATAATGTTTTATAGGCCACAAAGTATGTTTTATAGCCCATAAATAATGTATTATAGCTAATAAATGATGATTTAAAGCTCATAAATAATGTTTTATAGCTAATAAATTATGATTTATAGCTCATAAATGATGTTTTATAGCCCATAAAAAAATGTTTAAAGTATGTTTTATAGCTCATAAATGGTTTGGAGCTCATAAATGATCATTTTTAGCTCATAAAGTATGTTTTATAGTCCATAAATAATGTTCAAAGTATGTTTTTATAGCCCATAAATGAAGTATTATAGCTAATAAATGATGTTTCATAGCCCAAAAAGTATGTTTTATAGTCCATAAATAATGTTTAAAGTATATTTTATGACTCATAAATGGTTTGGAGCTCATAAATTATGTTTTTAGCTCATAAAGTATGTTTTATAGCCCATAAATAATGTATTATAGTGAATAAATGATGATTTATAGCCCATAAATGATGTTTTGTAGTTCATAAATATAGTATCCCACTGTTTTTGGGATGTTTTTTCAGTGAGATCCTCTTCATCTGAGTGTAAACAGAAGCTGAAGCCTCTCCTGTTGGCTTTGAGGACATGAGGGATGAAGCTAAGTCTCTTCTCTTGTTTTCTGAGGTGATGCAACTTTCCTCCAGGAAGTCTGTGTGTGTGCGTGTGCTTGTGTTCAGTCGTCCGGCTCGGTGACGCACTGCTCCACAATCTCCCGCAGGTTGGGGTTTTCCATCGCTGCCGCTACGCGCTCCTTATCATTGATCTGCTTATTGACTGACAGAAACACAATATTACAGGAGAGCACACACACACAGATACACACACACACACACACACACACGCAAGAACACACTCAGACAAAAGCATGAACACACATGCACTTACACAGATGCATGCACAGATGCACTTTCACACACACTTAGACACACACACATTAACAAAAGCACATTCACTCACACACACACACACACACACACACACACACACACACACACACACACACACACACACACACACACACACACACACACATGAATGCACACAATCTCAGACACATTCACACACATGCACGCACACTCTCTCACACACCCTCAATCAGACGCACATGCATGAACACTCTTGCACACACACATACTCAGACACACACATGGACTAACCCGCACACACAAACTCAGACACAGCACACATACACCAGCACACTCTCGCATGCACACACACATGTATATACGAATGCTCATGCACTCACACACATTCACAGATACTCATGCATGCACGCACATACTTACTTATACGTACGTACACACACATTCAATCAGACGCACGCACACATGCACAAACACTCTTGCACACACATACTCAGACACACGCACATACACAGACACTCATAGTCTCACACACACACATACACAAATTCAATCAGACACACATGAACACACTCTTGGGTTGCTGAAGATCTGCAGTGGTGTAAACATGATTTAAAGAGCAGGTCTGAACACTCACTGTCCTCCTCGATCGAGTGTGTTCCCTCTGTTATATAAATCTCCAGCTGGAAGACCAGAAAACACCATCAGAGGCCAGAGAAACAGCGCTGACACACTGACGCTTCATTACACACACACACACACACACTTGAGAAGCTTTACTGATGAACACACACACACACACACAGCAGAGTATCACAGCGTTTGCAGACGTACCTTGTGTTTGAAGGGCAGACAGCGCTGAAGCTTCACCTGTAAACACAGACCTGCAGGAAGAAGACAACACTGCAGTAAATAACCTTTATTTACAAGAGCGAGGAATAGTCTACCCAAAAATTACAATTACTTGTTTCAAACCTGAAATTCAAATGTTGTTAGTCACTTAAGCCTGGTTTATACTTCTGCGTTAAGTGACCGGCGTAACCCACGGTGCATACAATGTGCGTAGCTGTGCATTTAAGACTGATTTATACTTCTGCGTCAAGCGCACACGTATGCTACGGCGCAGCCTATGCGTTGACGCATAGCCCTACGCCGTGGCCGTCGCTGATGTGCACCTCTCAAAAATTATAACTACACATCGCAACGGTGCGTAGCGCAAGCTCTGTGATTGGTCAGCTTCAAATCGAAATCGTGACACCCCTACGGCTTAGTAGCGCTGACGAGTCAGGGCGGAGATGATACAATACATGATGACACAATAAGAGCAAGTGTGCTTAAACAAGTACATATTTTTGCAGCACCTCTGCTATTAAGGTCCATCAGCATTGATTGCAAGCCTGCTGACTGCTTCCATTCATGCTTTTGTTCTCTGTTATTTAATATGTCACTGCCGGTGTGGAATATGTGGAAATATGAGAACGTGTGGTCTTACCCATAAAAGCTCCCACATTACCGATAAGACTGAACAGACAGCTCTCGGGAGGGTAGGATCCACATTTACTGCATCAAAGTTAAGACAAAGGCATTGTTAGATCGTGCCGGAAATAAACCCAGACTGGAAAGAGAGAAGAGGAAGAGGCTTAAAATAAAGCGCTACCTGATGAGGGGGATGTCTTGAAGGGTGCAGCATGTTTTTGGGAAGCCCGGTTTGGCTGTTTCTTCTGTGCACGTCACATTGTATGACCTTTAAAACAGCGACAGTCAGATAGCATAAACACCACGTGTTCTTTGTGAGCGGAGCAAAACAAGGGCAGCTTACCAGTTTTCGACAGGACAAACATGGTGGTTCATTACAGCCATAGCATATCTGAGGAGAAAGCAAAACGTGGTAAACCTTTAGGGCACAATTTAAGGTATTAACAGACCATTAACAAACACTACTAGCTTAATAAACTACTTATTGTCTGTTGA